TGATGATTGAGTTCAAAATGAAAAAGTTTCCTTTGTTTTACAGAATTTTCAGCTGTCATTACTCGGCTGGGTTTTTACTTTAAAGCTCCTAAAGAAGTTCAAATGCTAACCACACAGATTCAGAGAAGTGCAGACTCTTTCACAAAAAGCCAACCTGCTGACATGCAGGACCCTCATGATGCTCACACAGGAAGGAAACACACGTCAAAACTGCCACTGTTTTATCCCCTCCATGTGTGTGTGTGTGTGTGTGTGTGTGTGTGTGTGTGTGTGTGCGTGTGTGTGCCCGGCATGTGCTTTTTCTCACTCTTTAGACTTTGTGGTGTACTGAAAAAGACTGCAGGGTGTTAAACCGAAATGAAAGAAAAAAAGAGGCTGCAAAGTTAAAAAAAGAAAAAGAACTGCAAGAGAGCCTGCATGTTTTAAAAGTTCCTAAAGTATTAAGCAGTGAATTCACCTGCTTGATGTTTGAGGTTAAAGTGGCTGCCTTCGAAGCACAGGACCTCCTCTGCACCTCAGTGGGACGGATGAAAACGAAACAGGAGCAACTTTGAGTCAGAGTGGAAACAGTTTCCAGTGGACATGAGCAAAAGCAGCGTGGGCTTTGGTTTCATTACCTGCCATAATGAACGATGGACAATCACCTGTGTGTTAGCAAAATATCTCTCAAACCAATGGAATCATTTACTTTGTTTCAACACATCAATTTGCTCTTAAATTATCACTTTTATTTGTTTCAATGAAAAGTCACAGCATCATAAAGTTCCTGGTTGATATGCACACATTTTTACAAGGCATCAATTTACGGATAAAATAAATATTGGTAACACTTTACAATAAGGTACACAAAAAAACCTTAACTACTGAGGAACTACTCAGTAACTACCATGACACCAAGTGTAACTACTGAGTTGTTACTACCCAGCTAGCAAGCAACAATGCTACAACTAAATCAGTACCTTAGTGTTAACTGACTCCTGCATCATTGATTAAAGGTACAATATTCTGCAGATGCATAAAATGCTTCATTTATTTAACTGCATCTCTAAATGCTTTTAGTTGTCACTTGATTAATCAAAAAACTGAAAAATGATACATTATATAACATAATGTAACATGACAAGACAATAACAAGTTATGTGGATCAGTTAATACACATATTACAGAAAACACATTCGATGCATCATTTGAGTAAAGTGATGAGTCATTTTTACCTGTTTCTAAGTAAAAGTAGCACGTGACACAATGCTGAATATATGAGGTGCCYTTTGTAAAGTTACACAGTCAAAAATTAACACCAATATTTTTGTTTTATTTAACCTTTTATAAGAAAAAAAGAACAGATTTATTTTTCAAAGTCAGTTTTTCACCATATGATTCATACATTTATAAATGTCATAGTTTATAAACTAAATATTTAACTTGTGACTTAAATATTTAGTTAACAAGCTAAATATTTAGTTTTGAGCTAAATATTTAGCTTGTAACTTAAATGTTTAGCTAGCTGCCTAAATATTCAACTTGCAACCTAAATATTTAGGTTGCAAGTTAAATATTTAGTTTATAAACTATGACATTTATAAATGT